TACACCACAATTGTAATTTTCTCTGCGGGGCTATTAATGACACAGGGAAAGATAGCTGGTTCAGCTCAGCATTCTAACTGAACAAGGTGCATGCAGAGCAGAGACAGGCAACTTCTGGTGAAATTTGGACATCAGACATTTACGGAGACAGATGGTTGACAGGCTCTGGAAGATGAATCTTTTGGAGTGGCTGTGCGCCTTAAAAGCGCAAAATTGTTCTGCTTAGCATTTCTTCCATTATTTGTAGTTTCTTTGCCAGCACTGGGATTAGGGGCATTTCCTCCCTCTGGCAGGTCTGTTGGAAGAGACTGGCTTGTGGCTGTGGGATATAGGGATACTGGGGAGGTGATGCCAGTTTGCTCCCAGAGCAGAAGTGCAGAACTCAAGGCATCGCTGAATTTGGCCAAGCCAGTTCCACCTGACAGCCCTTCGGTGTCTGTCAGAAAGGATTCCTGTAGGTCTTTCTGTGTGTGATTTCAACGGACAAGGTTTTCAGAGGAGCTTATCGCTCATCGCTAAGACTGATCGGACTACTGTGAAACTCTCCCCTTTCAAAAATAAATCTGCTTCTCTCTGCTCTAATCAAGGCCATTCCAGAGCATCCCTCCTCATAGGACTGTGTGGCTGCAGAATGGCTTGGCAGCTTTTACAACCCTGCTCTTCCAAATATCCTTGGTGTCTTTCTGTTGTCTGGCTCCAGTACTGTCCAGTGCAGTCCCTAATATGGCTCTGTGGGTCTCGTTTCTATGCTGCTATACAATGATAATGAGTTTAGATACTGTGACATCTCCTGACTTCACTGTATACTCCTATCTATGCCAACACACTCTTTTACCTCATTCTAGTCCTAAAATACCTCCTGGTTTGTAGTCACCCATCCAATCTGCACATCCCAGTAGGCCACAGCATAGCTCTACCTGCTCAGCACCACTGTAATCCCTCTCCTGTGTACAGCAAGATGTCACTTTCCAGAGCCCATTGCTCATCAGCTTCCAGCCCATCATCACTCACTGGCATTTTGTAATTAACTTTCTGACCTTTCCCCCAAGACTACTTATTCTCCCCCTCTGTGTGTTTGTGTACTCCATACTCTACCCAGGCTTTTACTTGTGTTGGAGGTAATTTGTCTTGGTGGGGAGATGTTCCCTCCCCACCCATCTCTCACCACTGTCCCTTCAGAAATATCCCAGTGCTCTTTTCTGGCAGGTTCCCATCAGGCTGCTCCTCTGGTCGCCAGCTCCTATGTCTGGTCTGAGGTTGTGCGGTTGGGAGTTAGGGCAAGGATAAAATTATCATCCCCATGAGGACAGCATGGGCTCAGGTAGGGTCTTTCATATGCTGGTGGGGCACCTGTGCTGCGTGGCTGCCCAGGTACTCTGTGTCCAGGCTGTGTCTTTGCCTGGAAGGCGAGGGGCTAGTGAAGGGCACAGGGCTGGCCTCACCTGCTGTGGGAGTGAGGGTCTCTCCTTCCTCCTTGTCCCTTGACTTATCCTCACATCTCTGGCCTCAATTGTTGAAGCTTTGCAAACATGAGTGAAAATAGCTGAAGCTGAGCAGTCTCAGATGCTATTAAGTGAGGGATCCCAAGAAATCCTGACCAGCTGTCTGCTTGGACCCCAGGTATCCACATCTGCACACACACTTAGACCATTTCTGGTGAGTTTGCTGCACTCCAGGAAGGTTGAGAGGCAAAACAGGCTCCACAGCGAGAATACACCAGTGATCGCATGTGTTGCTTCCAGTGCTTGCTTTGTTCAAAGCTGGAGAAAAGTCTTGACC